TCCTCACCAGTTTGTCCAGACGGGAGGCGTCCTTCTTGTGTATGATATAAAATGTAACTATACATGAATGTTAGCTGAAAATATTATATTTTATGTTCCATATCCTTGAAAGGCTGTGTTTACATCTTTTCTGTTAAAAAACACCTAAATATGTTATTTGTTAAGAGGTGCCCAAACCTTTACATACATCTGTATATAGAATTTGATGTAAATGTGGCATTCTTTTTAGAATATGTAGAGTATATATGATAAATAAACGTATCATATCCATCCATCCATTATGTCACAGATGGGCCATACTCAATAGCTGATATCAGAATTCCTTTATTAACTTATTAATTTAACCTTAGCTTCTATAAGTTAGAGAAGGTTTATAAATGGCGAGATGTATTTATTAAATCCTGATTCCTGGGCGTGTTACAGGAGAGCCAAGCCATCTCCTTGGTGTCGGTGGCCCATGTTCTGGGTGAGACTCACCCCCACAGAGGCCTCCGCAGGCAGCCTTCCCACTCCGATGAAGTGGCCTCTGAAAAATCTGACACAGGTCACAAATAACAGCCTCTCAAGTTTCAAGCTGCCGTAATGTGTGTGAAATAATATTTGTCTCAAGTTTGATGTTTTCTTGTTTCGCACCATAACAGAAAAGTCTGGACTCTCTGACATGTCCACGTCTAAATACAAGAAATCTCGCGCTCTCTCCACCCCAGTGGCTGTTACAGGTTCAGTATACACAAATATACATACAACATATTTAATATATTTTTCTTCATACTTTGATATATTCTTTATATTGCCTTTCCTGTCTCAATAGCACACATGCACAACTATGTGTAACCTTTTTACATGTAGAAAAGAAGGCATTACATTTAAAGATAAACATTTAGAAACTGCAGTCTGCCGCTAAAACTGAAATCCAACTTTGTGTTAGTTCTATGTGAGCTAAATACTATTTTTCCAGGTCAGCAATAATAACTTGTTGCTATTATAAAACTAAATCACCAGTAATTGCCCACGTCTGCAGCTAATGTTATTGCTAATATTCTAGGGATGGTAAGGTTCACCAATCGGTGCACATACATAAAAGTTCAAGATGAGATCGCCCCAATTAAAAAAGTGTGTATTGAATACAATTGTCAGCTTGTTTCTAACATCTTTATATCAGTAAAACCAGATTGATTTATATGTACTGAATATATACCAATCATTTTATGTCTAGATTGATTCCCCCTCTCTAAAGTGTTTCTCAAGCTGCT